GATGAACAGCGGCTTTCGTGGCAATAATTAAAACGGTACAACCCGGAAGTGTATTAATTACATTGATTAACCAAAATGAGCTATTCTCCGCATCAAAAGCAAACCACTATTCAAATGAAATGTAGAGAAATCCCACGAAGTTGGTACAATTTATCCGAATTATTATGCAATAAATAAGAACCCTTTCTATGGGGTTAGGCCATTTCAATCTCTAATGTTACTCTTGCAAATGTTTTCTTAGAATTATTATTTAACGGGTATCCAACAAAAAATATTTTCAGATTTTATATTTAATCGTTTATCATTAAAAATTATTCTGGAAACTAACTAAAAACTAAATTATAGTTCGACTATAAGTAAATTTAGTAAATGATTTGTTTATTTCAACATAATCATAGAATTATTGTTTGAAAATATTTTATTACCTTAAAATGAAAAAAAAATTAATGCAAATTATTCAACTTTCAAATTAGTGATTTTTTTTTGTAATTACCCATTAAACATCTTTGATATTTTGACTGTACTATACAGAATGTTGTACTGAATGTGGTGAAACATGAATATCAATTATTTGTTAGTTATTAGATGTGCAAAATGACAAATTACTGGAATATAAATAAAATATTTTATTGTTTAAACCATTTTTATTTAGAGTAGGTTGATAACATCAGTGAATGAATATCAATGAATTTTTAACTAAACATTATCAAATCAAAATGTAATAAGTTGATGTTCATTCATTAATAAATTCCAATTTTCAATACTAAATTATAAATTAAAATTGATAATTTAAAATACAAGTTAAAAGTTATTAAAATTAATGAACACATATTAAATATAGGTAAATTGTAATTTTAGATAAAATATAACATTAGATTAATAGTTAATATAAATTTTAAAATTAGTTATACAAATAATATTTATTATTAATAAAATAATAGTAGCAATTTATATCAGATATTAGAAAAATACTGAACTGTGGAAATTCAGCCAAAGAAATTTTTAATTCCAAAGAAATGAAACATTGGATATGTAATATCTTATAATTCTTATTTATTTTTTATAATATAATAGTTGCAATTAAAAACTATAATTTAACCATTGTTTTTCAGAACTTAGAACTTTTTGTTCCCTGTAACTCCGTAAATAATGAATATATTTAATATAATTATAAAACGTTAAAAACAACTAATCTATCGAAAAAAAACTTTTTTTCAATAAGTCACATTAGATAATTATTATTCTAACATGACAATTAACAATTATTGTAGAATAATAGTCTTTAATAATTTATTTATTTATGCAAATAGTATTTAAAAAGCTTAATTATGCATTCGGTAGTAGTTATCTTCAATTTTTATATAATTTTATTACTACTACTTATTATTGCAAGTGTTTGAGCATCACTTTTATCACGCCTAAAATTTCATATTAAATACTAAAGTCTGCACTTAAGTTAGTTTTTGTAAATTTAGGAATGATATATGTGTTTAGCATGAGTAAATGATTAGCATAGGAAATCACTTCTACTACATATTTTTTTTTGTTAGAATAATCATAAATATAATCTTAATTTTTTTTTAATTTGATTATTTATAAAATTACAAAATATAACCAAGTATAAATTCTTGATACATAATCTTAGTTAATATTAAAAATTGAATTATACATTTCTTAATAACATAGTTAAAAAAAAAACTCAGCTCAGGGGGGTCGCGGCACAGTGGTGACGTGACATAGTTGGATCAAGTATAATGATATCTGACAGTGATTAAAATCACTATCAAAATAAAACGCTTCGATGCAAATCTTTAGATAGTGTTTAATTTTAAAAAATTGGTGTATTATTCCAAAAGCTACATGATCTGCTAGTTCCTTACTAATATCCTGATTAAGAAAAAGTATGTCGAATGAAAAAGGGATTATTAAAAAATATTATTTCTCATAAAAATATTGTGTTGATCCATACATTTTTTAAAAAGTTATAGCATTTTAAAGTAAAAAATGTAAAATATAAAATCGAGAAATTTCACACAAAAATAGCATCCGGTAACAATTTTCACCACGAAGACAAGTCCAGAGATCAAATTTTTTTTTTCATAATAAAGTACATTAGATTAGTTTTAATTTAAGATATATATAAAAGTCTCAAACCTTCCGGAACACTTTCAAAAGTTATGTTGAAAAAGTTAATTTTTTGTGAAAAAGTTGTCATTTTGAATCCCATCCTGTGAGCTGGTAAAGGGTTAAATTTATAAAAAAAAATATATTAAATGATAAGTAAAGACATCAAGCATCTATAAAAAAAAACATTATATTGATATGTTCATTTTTGAAAAAGTTACGGCAGTTTTTAGTAAAAAAAAATTGAAAAAATTTCGAAAATTAGCGAATTTTAAATTTGTAATTTTTTTGGAGGTTTCCTCCATTTACGGGGAACGAGGGAAATTTTTTCAATTTTTGAGGGTAATGTCTTCGATTAGATACGATTTGTGATTTTTTGACGTATCGTTGAAAGAAATCCGTTCGGTGAGAGATGAGAAAAAGTGGTAACAGACACAAAAAAAAAAAACACATCATAGTAAAATTAATACCTTCTCAGCTTCGCATCGAAGCTAAAATAATAATATATATAATAAAACTGAAAATGGTGTTGTGCAGTTAATTTCGGAAAAATTATTCGTAAAGATCAAAACAATAATTTTAGTACACCACAAGTGTTAAAAAATTTCGACTAATGTAAGAAATGCTTACTACTGCTAACATATGTGGTTTTATAACCTGAAATGTTTAACAGATCTGCCCGAAATCAGTTGAGGGTACTTTGTAAATTATTTTGTATTCCGTTCAGTTTTGATCAAGTTATGGCCATTGTTTTTATTATTATTATTATTTTTTAATAAGTTTGTTATAATATACAAATTTAAATGAATAACAAATTGATCGAATCAACTAAAATAATCCTTTCTCAAAGAAAAAGATTCTGCGCTCTAGTTGACAAAAATGTTTTCTATGCCGATTTAGTTCTTTTATCTAAAATAGCACTAGGTAGCACTACATATTATTTAAACATAAAAAATCTTTTTAAAATATTAATTGTGGTGTTGTATAAAAACTAATATTATATAAATATAGTGATAATAAATGAATAACATTACACGATTTTATTTTTAATTACATCAATATATGTTTTAAAACATAAGACATCATAAAATGTCTGAAATAATGGAATATTTATATAAAAAAACTACAATTTTTTAAAGAAAATATAACTGGTTAGTTGGTTAAGTCTAATAAAAGATTCTTATAGAAAAAAAAAGTATAACAGCTGTCTGTGGCGTATTTAGAAATTTATAATGGGGGGTCACAAAAAATGTACATGAATAAGGTACCATAAAACGACTTCTTTTTTTGCTCATAAGTTTTGTTAACACATATTTTAAGTTTTTTAAAAAAAAATCTATTATTTGTTTTGAATCCATTTTTATTAATAAAAATATTTCTGTTTAAATTAATGTGTATCTCTATGCAATAAACACTTCAAAAATAGGTTATAACATTAACGGGACTACTGTGCGGGCGTCAAATTTTGTTCCACAAGACAACTATATCGACTAACATTTTATAAACCTATGTTATAATGGATAACTAAAAAATAACTTTTTCTAATGATATACGTTATTACATTGCTCAGTAAAATATTTACATGACTCAGTCAATGAGGGGGGGGGTACGAGCCCATGTGCTCCCCTCTAAATACCCCACTGGCAGCTGTCCAGAAATTTTTTGAATACTTATTAATTCTTTCTTTGTAGTACTTCACATATTTCATTCTTGAACTTTAAATCTATTAATTAACTTAATGTTATTTTTTTGTAAATAGTACCATTAGTAACACATCTTTTAACTTAACTTTTGAAAATTTTTCGGAAATACTGCGTCCTTTAAACATATGTCAAATTAAAACTTACAATAAATACTATATGTTCAAAAAAAAAATTTGTCCCGAAACTTTTTCTTTTATGAGAAAATAGCCGTCGCATTTCACGAAAAATGTAATTTTTATGTAAAAATCACTGTTTAACATGAAACATTTTAATACTTAATAATGCCATAACTTTTTGAAAAATGTACAAATTAAAATTATTTTTTTTATATTGAAACCTTAGGTCAATTTCTAATGTGCAAATTGAGCTAATTATTATGATAATAAATTCATTTTTTTTTTTTATTATAAACTTTTACTTCAAGGACATTAAAAAGTANGTCAGATATCATCTATACTTGTCCCATCTATGCCTCGTCCACACTGTGCCTCGACCCCACTGTGCTACCGTTTTTTTTGTATATTTTTGATATTTTACATATATACATTTCAATACTTTTTGCATAAAAATCCGGCCTTTAACTATCAAAGATAGTTGAAAAGAATTAAATTGGATATTATGATTTAGCTCTTCCGAGTACTAAGGTTAATGATAGAATTTTCAAAAAAAGTATATTGTAAGTTATGTAACTGTTTTACATCTAGTATAAAAATAATTTCCTTGTATTAAATATTTTTAAATGAATAAATAAAAAATTTTAATTTGAACTATAACTAATATACAAAATAATGGCGTTGTTCTAAAAATTTTTCTAATTAATTAAAAATTTAGATTACAATTCAAGTTTTTTCGATCCATGCGTTATTTAAATAAATATGTTTGTGATTTTCAGTCAAAGATTATTGTTGATCATAATCGGTTTAGTAGGAGGGGAGTATTCGCATTTACGAACACAAAAAAAAAAAAGACACGGCAGAGCAAATTCATTAATTTAGCAACAAATAGTCATAAAATTCAGTCGTTTTAATATTTTTTTCAAAAAATATCAGTAGGTGCAATATTGAATAGTTCTGATAAGTGATGAACGAAATATTATTAAATTTATATTTATTTATTGGTAAATCATGTGGTAGTAGTTATAAGCGTGGCATCTGATAATAAAGTCCCGTCAATGAATAATACTGAGATTATACATATCTTATCAATCTTAATCACATTTAATTACAATATTTGGCGAACATTCCGTTGAAAAAATCATAAATTGTATTTTTCCTGCAAAGGTTTCTGTGTGGGTTATGCTGCTTATATATTTAATGCACAATGATCATCAAATAGCTCTATTTATACGAGTAATGTTCTTTATGTACCTTTGTATTTTCTTTTCACTTTTGTGTCTTCCCAATAAGTTTTCAAGTAAATATTAAGATAAGAAACTATGTCTAATACTGAAGTAAGTTTTATTAATACTCAGTTTTTAATATTTTTAACTATGTTGTTTACTATTTTACTATGATATGTATTATATTGAAGGATAATGCTAAGGCATGGTTTTTAAAAGGAATTGAATGCGAACGTGATGGAAATCATTATGAAGCTACACGATACTACAGACGAGCATTCAGACTAGATTCAGATATCGAAGACAAAATTACAGATGATGATTTAGTAGGTCTACGTGATGATAACAGTTGTAAGGTTGTGTTATTTTTTGGAAAACTGGTGTATTTGTAAAATTTTTACTCTATTTGTAGCTAAAGAAAGTGATAGTGATAACGATTATGATATTGAAGAAAATCTTTATATAAGGTTTCAAAAAATGATTGGACCTCAAATCTGTTTCCCAGAGTACAATCAACAAGTGAGTAAAAATAGAAAATATTTTGAAATAGTTATTAATTATTAAATTATCTTGAATGAGACCATAAAAAAAGGATAGGAAAAATATTGTTATTAGTGAAAATTATCAAAGGTTATTAATTTTTCTTTTTAAATGAGATAAGTAATACGTTTAAAATTAATAATTTTCCCTATCATAAGAATAGCCTTGGTTGTTGTATGAGTTAAGTTTTCATTACTTTGCTAATTTATATTTGTATCCATTTTCAGTATTCTTTAAATGTTAGTGAATTATTGTATTTACTATTAAATAATAATTTCCTACTTAATTGGTTATGTTTTCTTAAATAAATCTAAAATTTAATCAATTTTTATATTAAAAACCATTTGTAGTAAATTTACACAGTACTGTGTTTTCTTCAGTGTTACATCAAGTTATCAACTTAAAAGAAAATGTATTGGGATATGAATCATAAGTGCATAGTGACCTAGTGGTAAGGTTTGTCTTTATGAAGCCTTTGGATGAGGGTTCTTGACCTGTAATATGGCTCTTTTTTCACATGATTTCCAGTATACTTTCAATGACTCATGTCAATCCCCCGTAGTCATATCAAAAATACTCTGATATAAAGTAAAACAACATGGAAATAATGAAAGTCTACATTATATGTTTTAAAATTATAGATATTATTTTGCTTATTAAATTCATTAAGAATACTATTTTATTATCACATAACTTTTTGATTATTACAAAATACTTATATATATAGATCAGTGGCTAAATAACACCCCCGCAATGCGGGGGGCGCCAGCAAGTCATGGGCACCAAATTACAAATACTCAATACTGCTTTTACGAGCGGAATGACCAGAGAAAGGAAATTCCCTATATTAGTTCATAGGAAGTAAAACAAGAGAGCGCTGCAACCCCTTTCAATGATTGAAAGCATAGTAAAATTTAGTAAAGGGGCGCTGTTGAAAATTCTGCGGGGGGCGCGCGCTTGCTTAGTTACGCCACTGATACAGATAAATTATAAATATTTTTTTTTTTTTTTTTGTAGACCACTCACTTTTCTGCTCTTCCTACAGAGTTAATACTGTACATATTCAGATGGGTTGTATCATCAGATTTAGATTTACGAACTTTAGAAATATGTTCTTCTGTTTGTCGAGGTTGGTACATGTATGCTAGAGATTCAGAGTTATGGCGTCGAGCTTGTTTAAGGTAAGAAAAGGTATAATTATAGAAAGTAATACCAAATTGTAAAACTCAAAATACTAATATTAAAGTATTAGTATTCTATATTTAATGTTAACGATAGAAAATAAAATTTTATAGTACATCCTAATATACTTATAAATATTTGGTAAAGTTAATTACAAATAGATGTTGTATGTTTATAATAAAATTTAAACTTGATAAATTAATATTAATTAGAATAACGAGTAAATTATTATTGGATTTAAAAAGACTTTCTGAATTTTGTATGTGATTAGTATTTATCAATTTTTTCCTTATATATTTCATAAATAAAATAAATACTATGTTTTCATGCATTTTACAATCAAGTAACTTATATATAGCTATTAATTTCTTAAACAATATGGTACTACATAAATAGTAACTATAGTTTTTTTAACTTTATATTAATTTTTTTTTTATCAAAGCTTATATTTTTCTTATTAAGAGTTTGGAATAAATTGAATATTGACAATTTAGCTTCAGTTGATGGTAGTTGGAGAAGGCTGTTTATAGAGTATCCTCATGTTTTGACAATAGGGTGTTACATTTGTAAAATATCATATGTTCGTCAAGGGGAAGAGGCATTTCAAGATTTAAGTTATGGACCTTCTTTTAATGTAGTTTACTATAGATATCTCAGGTAACAAATTATTTTTCATTAAAAAAATTTATATATAAAAATTTATTTACTAACAGGTTCTTTTCGGATGGCCATGTTTTCATGATAGTATCCAGCAGTGAACCAGCAAAAATAGTACAAAAATTGAAATCTAAGGCATTAGCTCCTCCAGATGTTTGTTATGGTTTCTATCATCTTTCAGATAATAAATTATCTCTTAAACTAGATAGTAGAGTGGGGAAAATTGAACAAAATAATAAACTAAGACGCAAAGTAGAAAATGTTCAAAGAAAAACTACATATTATATGGTATTTAAAAAAAATATATCATCATAAGTAATTTTAGTTTTAATTAATATTTCTTATATCAGTCCTTGGAAATTTTGAAGCACAAGTCTAAGCATAACTGCAAACTTGTTTGGAGAAATTATGAAATTGTTCATCGAAATCGTGTGAATAAATTAATGACAACTAAGTATGATTTATCAAATAATCGTTTCCCACCATTTATATACTCAAGAGTAAAAAGTTATACAACTGAATCTGAAAATGTGCTATAATTTATTTCTATTATTAAAATTATTTGTTATTGTTAAAATATGTATATTTTATTTAGATAAATATTTTTATGTGTTTTGTTGTATATGTACTTAAAATATTTTAAAAACTGTTACTGATGTTAGACATTACTTCTTGTAATTTGTACAGAAGATAGCCATAAAATATCTTGAATGTTAACTTGATGCATCCAGTACATAGCTAATAATACTAATAAATGCATAATATTATGAGAGTTGAAAACAAAGTCAAAGTTTCCTGGAAAATATTTTTCAGGCCATCGTGAAGCATTTATTATTCCTCCAATAACTGATGATAAATCCTATTTTTAGGTAGTATTTTAATAGATTGATTCTGAATCATATACTTCATTTTTATATTACCGCAAGAACAACATAGCCTAAAGCTGATTGACTACCACCTCCATGTGAGGTTGATCTTAAAATAACTGAAGTCATTCGAATCGTTATTGGTAAAAAAAAGTAAAAACGGCTGGCTTTAATAAAATTATTGACTTTAAATACCTGATACAATAAAATAGAACATAAACTATTTTTTTTTAATTATCTTTTCTTTTATACTTTATATAATCCCCAGATGCATATCGCCCAGTAAAAAACTCCAATAATTACTTTGGTGTAACTAGGTAGGTAGTAAATGGTCACAGACACCACTGGTATTCCTCCTAGTTAATAAAGTAAAATACCAATTACATTTTATTTTATTTTAATATTAAAACAAATCTTTTGATAAGAATATGTATTGTAATACATTTTAGAAGAAAGTGTTTTTATCTTACTTTACCCATATATTGAGCTAGCCATATACAAATTAAATCGGCTTTCAGTAGAATATTATAATATCTTTTGTTGCCATAAACATTCATGAATGTGTGATAAACAATGCTTCCAATCCACGGTATGATAGTAGCAATTACATGACATAATTTAATGAATTGTAAGTCCTTAACTTCTCTTAAAGGTGACGTATATATCAAACTTATTGATAGTATCAGTGCAATAACTAAAAAAATTTAAAAACGGAATTTCAATAAATTGTTTTTTTATTATAACTTACTATGTGTGTAAATATTTAATGTTTCGTTGTGTATGGTTAGTATGCTGCTAAAACATTGCAGTGGTCGCATTGGTGGTCGGTATCCTTGGTCTATGTATGGATTAAAACGCAAGTGCTCAGGTAAATTTTCACGATAACATAACATGGTAATTTTTTTACTATTATATTTCATTAAAAATATAAAATTTTTTAAAAATAATTTTTGAGTTAAAATTTTAAAATAATTTTAAATTATAAACACATTATTAAATAAAGCCTATGTTACCAAGTGAAATAAACTCCAGAATTAGTAAAATGTTGAACAGCCATTTTTTTTACACAGAGTTATAGACGACTACAAAACTGATGGTAAGGTTACCATTTTTCTACTATGGAGTTATGAGTACCTATGTAATTATATACAAAAAGCACAGGGTCACTCATTTTATTATTAATATCATGTGTCCTTTAAAAAAAAATTATCAATACCGGTAAAATCGATAAGACTCGAAAAGTGTTTTTTTTTTTTGAAATACTATGTTACATTTTTTTAATTTCATTTTATAATTATTATAATTATTACAATAATGCCATTGACAATGAAAAAAAAAAATCACAATATAAATATTTTTTTTAGTATTTTGCTAACACTTCTTATGTCTTCTTAAATAAGTTTAAAATTCAATCATAAAATTTGAATTTTGTAAAAAAAAAATAATACGTGTTTTAAATAATAAATTATAAATCTTGATAATAAAATTTATTAAAAATAAATTATGTTAATCTTTTGAAAATAAGTAATTAAATTGAAAGTACTAAATTGTGCTCCATATTGAAACAAATTATTTCACTGGTATTTTAAAACATAACAAAACCTACAATAAATATAGAATAATTATTTATCATAAATATTGGACTACACAAAAATTTCGTTTTTACTAAATTTAAAAGAATATAACAATGACTTAGTAAATTAAGAACCTAAATTTTTTAATTCAACATAAGACTGTATCTACTGTCATTATAATTTGATTCATCCTGTATATAACAAATTTATTTCTATAACTTGTTTTCATTTTAAGTATAGAGTGTATACTAGGAATGGTTTGTTTCAATTATGAAAATATTAATCTGTTAAATTTGCTTGTATAACACTTATATTTCCCAATTGAGGCGTTTATTAACCGTTAATACTCCAGGATGAGTGTTTAATCTGTCACTCTCTTTTGGTATTAGATTAAACAAAGAAAAATGACCAGTGGAGTATTAAAGGTTTCAGAGAGGTTTTTATTTTATGACTTCTAAATTTTTTTGTTGAGCAAAAATATTTTTTTTCAGTTTCCCTTCAACTAAAACTTCTGAATACCTTACTGCAAGTTGTGGTGAAGTGTGGGTTATGTTATTTTTATCATTATACATTTTATCTTTACTCTGTCATGCTCTCTTTCACTCTACATTTAAAAAAGTTAATAACTTCCGAAGTATTATTTCAAATGTTGTTATCGATTAGATAATAAGATAATTTGTTATTTTATAAGCTAGTTAATTGTGCATGTTGCCGTTAATATTGAATTTTGATAAATAATAAATGATGAGTTAAAAAGGTAATTAATAACAGATAAATAAAAAAACATACAAAACTTAAAGAAAACAAAACCAATTTTATATCATAATTATTAATTCAAGAGAAATCGGGTAGTTAGTGTTGTTAAAAAAAACCACGTATAAAAATTAATATCAAAAAGACGGTAGGTCTATTGATGGTATTTAGATATATTTTATTAGTTTGAATTAATATTTATATTTTTTAAATTCTTTATTGGAGGTTTTCAATTTTTGTTATTTAATTAAATGTTGTTCTATTCACGAGCATATTTAAATCTCCTAGAAATATTTGAATTTTGAATAGAAATTTACTATTTTGTTTATTAATATAAATATGTTACAACATTGAGTTATTTAACTACATAATTTATCAAAATATGTAAGATGTTTAAATTTATTTCATCTAGAGTAAAAAAAAATACTAAAAATATATCGCGAGTAATCTAAAATTTAAATAATATTTTTCTTATTAACTGATCTCATATCGATCTTAATTTATCTTGAAATTTAAAATATAAATAAGCAAAGTGTGCAACTTTTTAATTCCATTTCCCTTTTAATCGCCCTAGGATTCAATTATCGTGAGCATTATTTAGAATTTAAATAATGCTGACGAAATAATAAAATTGCTTTATATTCATCTGTATATATCTGTCTTTAACACATGATAATTTTATTTTATTTAACTATTTGATTTAATTTTAAATAAAACAAAATTGTTTTGCTTTTATATTAGCTGTTACATTCAATATTTTTTGGTTGGTATATTTAACGTCAACATTAACCTAATAAATATTGAATTTAGAATAAAATAATCAGTTACTAAAAAAGTTTTAATTATTTTTATATAATTAAAAAGTAAAAAAATATTAAAGTACAATTGAACTACTAAGATTGCGTCGCTGATGGTTCAGCGGTGGAACCTACACTGATTAGACTTATACTACTATAGACACATTTCCAACCAGAAAAACAAAGATAAAGATATTATATTATATTATGACTCGCGCTAACATTAGCTTCGATGCGAAGCAGAGAAGGTATTAATTTTACCATTATGTGTTTTTTTTTTGTGTCTGTTGCCACATTTTCTTAACTTTCACTGGACCGATTTCTTTCAACGATACGTCAAAAGATCACAAATCGTATCTAGTTGAATACATTACCTTAAAAATTGAAAAAATTTCCCTCGTTCCCCGTAAATGGGGGAAATCTCCAAAAATATTACAATTTGTAAATTTTGTCATTTTTTTCTTAAAACTTCCATAACTTTTTCAAAAATTATCAAATCAAAATAACTTTTTTTTATATTGAGACCTTAGATATTTCCCTTTCATTTGATATCATTTTTTTGAAAATATAACACTTAACCAGCTCACTGGGGGACATTTAAAAAAGCTACTTACTCATCAAACTCAACCTTAAAATATATATCAAATTAAAGCTTATGTCATATACTATAAAAAGAGAAAAAAAAATTGTCCTGACACGCCTAAACGGTTGCCGTAGTTAAATGCTATTTTTGTGTTAAAATTTTCGATTTTTAATTTTCAACTTTAAATTGCTATAACTTTTCAAAAAGTGAATGTATCAACACAAATTTTTCTTTCTAAATACTTTATATATATATTTCTTTTATTTGACATATTTTTTATTTAAATTGGATAATTTTCCCTTATACTAGGAGCGTTTAAAACTTGAAACATACATATAAAAAGTAGAACTTTTTCAACTTAACTTTTGAAAATGTTCCGGAAATAATGAATCCTTTTAATATATGTCAAATTAAAGCATAAATAAGTACTATAAGTTCATAAAAAATAATTTCTCCGGACACCTTTTCTTCTATGGGAAAATGGTCGTCGAATTTAACGAAAAACGATATTTTTATCTAAGTATTGCTGTTTAACATGAAATATTTTAATACTTAAAACTGCCATAACTTTTTGAAAAATTAGAAATATTTCTTTTTTATATTGTAACCTTAGATATTTTTCTTTAATTTGATATAATTTTTTTGAAAATCTGACTCTAAACCTGCCCACAGGGGGCATTCATAAAAGCAATTTTCACACATCAGTTAAGCTTTTTTAGTTTAATTCTTGAAAATGCTTTCCCAACCCTTGATTAACATACTTTTTTCAACGATATGTCAATTGATTACAATTCGTATTTAATTGAAGATATTACCCTTAAAATTTGAAAAAATTTCCCTATATCAAATAAAAAGTAGCTTAACCAACTTTCTCCATACAAACAATTAAAATGATTCATTTCTAATATTTTTAATGTATTAATTGTTGAATTAGATTTGATATGATAAAAGTATTAAACTGCAAAAAACAAAAATAATTTTAATTTGTAATTTATTAATTTTTTAACTCTATTTGTGTGTGTTACTAACAGTCTATAATATTCCAAATTTTTTAGTAATAATTGCTACATAACACAAATCTAAAAAAAAATAGTTTTTTAGTGTAACCTAAATTCAACAATCTATTTTTACAATTACAATCAAATTTTATAATATGCTCAATTGAGTAGATCTCTTTAACAACTTTTTTTTTATTGGTTTTTTTAATTAAAATAAATCATTAAAATAAATTAAGTTCTGAATAATTCAATTGTAAAATATTTTTAAACACCAAAAGTTAAAAAAATGATTACTATGATTTATATTTAAGTGATCTATTACAATATTTATGCAAAAAAAATCAAGCTTTTCCGATCAATTTTCTGTAAATAGTAATTATACAATTTCCTGACTCCATATTAATCTTAGCAATAACATTTTTTCCTATTTAATGATGTCAATTTCTAATGTGCAAATTGAGCTAATTATTATGATAATAAATTCATTTTTTTTTTTTTTATAAACTTTTACTTCAAAGGACATTAAAAAGTAGGTTTAAAATGATTACTTTTAACATATTGAAAATCAAAATCAATAATAATTATAAAAATTATATAATATATAATTAAAAAATTGATTATTATATAATTATATATTATATTTTTGAATCTAAGAATTACTAATCTGGATACAATTAAAGAAATAAAAGTTGATGTTGCTTTTGTAATTATCCACCAAATTCTCAGAACTAAAAACTATGTAGATAGTCTTCGATTTACATAGAATCGTTTCTAATGATAGTGATTTTAATCACTTTCAGATTAAATCTATACTGGACCAAACTATGTCACGTCCCCACTGTGCTAGTTTTTGTTGCGGTTGCTGATTTTTACCGCACTCGGGTGGTATTAATGTACTAACGAAAAAAGAAAGAAACACAACACCTTTTGGGTTCAAAGTAACGTATACTTTATTTTAGCTTGTACAAACTTTAGATTGTTATATATACAATTATAACAGAAGCAAACACCGTAAGCAGTTCTTTTACGGAAGATATATATATATGTGTGTGCACGAAGACAATAATTGTAACGGCGTGTTCGGCGAGCAATCCAATCGGTGTGGTGTCACGGAGATGACTTAACGTATATTTGCGGCGGGTCGTAGATGGACGTGCGGCACTTGCTGGACTTTGTACCGTGGCATATCGCACGCGGTGTTAGTCAGTCAAACTACCATATGCACGTAGAAGGGCGGCGGCTGATAAAGGTGTCACGGGTCGCGGGGCTCCGTGTATAGAGAACGACGCGGGGCTGTGTCATTTTTTTTTTAATAGCTTCATCAAAATCCAGTCTAATTAAATAACACCAGCTAAACAACTTGCATATTTACAAGTTGTTATTTGATTATACTAGTATTTATATGGCTGTAAATACAGTACTGTCGTTTGATAAACCAAAAATTTTGATAATTTTAATAAATCATTTTTATTTTATACAAATATTATGACAACAATTAATTAATTTGTGTAATATACAGGGTGATTTTTTTATCATAACCCACTCAATTACTTGCAGAATAATAATAATTTAAACATTTTTTTTTTTTATTTTCTTTAGTTACACATTATTCTTGAATTATTAACTATGTAATACTTTTTAAGTTCATCCCTTATGCCTTGGAGGGGGGTAAACTTTGTTTTTTTAAATGGTAACACATATTTTTAATTTAATAAAATGTTTGAGTTTTTAATTTAATAGTAAATGGCATTTGAATTTTTAATATAACTTAATTCGTTTATTAGATATAATCATTTAAAGTTTCAAATTTTTGAATTAATATACAGGTATAATACACAAGGGATTACAAATATAGGTAGCTAATTGGTTTTTTATAACATCGATATTAGCAGGTACACAGCATTGTTATTATCAATTGTAGTAAGGCACATTGTTATGAGTTTATAAATACACTAACAGACAATACAGAAAGTATATCTATTGATAATCATAATTGATAATAAACAATCCGTGACTGAGACAGCAATGTCATAAAAATCCAATTAGCTACCTGTATTTACAATCCCATGTGTATTATACATGTATATTAACTCAAAATTTTGAAACTTTAAATGTTTATATCTAATAAGCTAATAAAGTTATATTAAAAATTCAAATGCCATTTAATTTCAAATTAAAAACTCAAACATTTTATTAAATTAAAAATATGTGTTACCATTTAAAAAAACAAAGTTGACCCCCTTCCAAGGCATAAGGTATGAACTTAAAAAGTATTACATAGTTAAAAATTCAAGAATAATTTGTAACTAAAGATAATAAAGAAAAAAAATGTTTAAATTATTATTTTTCTGCAAGTAATTGAGTGGGTTATGATAAAAAAATCACCCTGTATAATCAGGTTGATGTTTTCTCATGAATGGTAAAAACAACACACATTTGTTTCTATAACTTTATTGTTCGTATTATAATAAATATTCATTATTATTAATGTTATTATAGGTATTTTACAATGTATTTTTCATAACTTTATAAACATAATAGCATTAAGAATATAGTAGAATTTCACGGTTTGTTATAAGGGTTGTAACACAATTAGAATTTAATTATTCTTGTTAAATTAGATATGTATAAGCTCACCTTTTCATTAAGAAATTGACCCTTTGCTCATAAAATAAAATAATAATTATATTAATTGAATAACAATTATATTCATGCGTAAATGATAACAACTGTTTAAAATAAAAATTTTAAATAATGATATCGTTAAGTTTAAGTTTAATATTTAAAAATAACTTAAATTATAATCAATACATATTCTAATAACAATTATTAATAATGTTATATTTTAACATTATTTTTCTAGTATAATTTGTAAAAATAGGATATACAATGTTATTCAACTTTCAAATAAATTATTAAATTTTTCAAGATAATGTAGATTTAACTAAACTAGAATTGTTTCTACTAAAATTCACTGATATCAATTACACTTTAATATTTTCATTTAAACATTATTAAATGACAAAGGCCCAATAAAAATAGTATTTTATTAGATATTTTTTAATAGGTTTACACATTAATGTAATCGATATCAATATAATCATGACAGTNTTAATAGGTTTACACATTAATGTAATCGATATCAATATAATCATGACAGTAACTTATTAAGATCAATTGATGTGTTATAGGATAATCCTTTTTAAAGGTTAAATAATTTTAAATAATAGAAGTAAAAATGGAAGATATTCAAATAATTTTTATTTCTTATCACATTTAAATTAATATTTTATTTAAAAAATATTTAGCTATTTTAAAGTCATGTAAAGCATATTCGTCGGATTAGGAAAATATTGACTACAAGATACATGCATTGTAAATTGTCATTTTCAAGGCCAAGCAATTTTCAGGAAGATAGAAAAAAAACGTTGACCATTAAGTTTCTTAAGTGTGTTGTCGTGTTTTCATAGTGTATGCTATTCATATAAACACTTTGCATAGTAAATAGGGGTCACATTGATAGATGTGTAAAAAAGGTTTTTTTTATACAACACCTTTAAATTGTATTTAAATAATATACTAATTGGGATATTGCAGTCTATGTAATAATACTATAATAACAATTTACAAAATAATTAAATTATATAATAAATAATAAATAGTACAATGAACTATTAACTCAAAATAAATAAAGCACGGTAATTACATTAACAGTTCTGTTGCTACTTATAACCTTTACACAACATCATAATAATCTATAGTAAATTAATAGACATAATAATAATGATAGTTAATTTTAATTAATTTAAAGTAAATATAATAATATGTTTATTTATATTATAATATATAATGTACACGTCAACGTTTAAATCGTGTAATCATAATAAAATGGATCAACCATTAAAAAATCTTTTTCTTAACAATACTCAATTTTGGTAATTTTTTTACGGAACAAATTCAATAACAATTTCAAACGAACAATTGATACAACTACACAATATTACTAGATTTTCTCTATACAGACATTTATCATATACTAAATAAGTATTGTAATGATAATTAAAGTATGTTTAATTAACATTGGACTAGAAATATTTTATTTCACATAATAAAACTATTACAACTATAAAATGCCTATGCACACCAATTTATAAGTGCAAAACAGGATTAATTTAATTCGATAACTTTTTAATTTATTTTAAGTATTGATTTTATTTGCTGTTGATTCTTGTCTACTTGCTACACATCTATACAATATTGTACATCCGCTCAAAATCTCTAGCTTTAGAAATACTCTGTTAGTGGATTCAAAATTATTAAAATATTTTTTAAAATGATTGATATTACTGAGAGCATTAAAAATGCTTTTATGTTAGTTTAACCCACTTCAAGAATATTTGTCGTACAATATTTGTTAACAACTACAGAAATTTAGAAAAAAGTTTAGTTTTTTTAAACTAACCGTATAATATTCAATAAAAAAGAAAAAAACATTATTTTAAAGAAGTTTAATATAAAGAATATTATACACGGTACTGGCTTCAGTGAAGTGTTTTTTGGATCACACATTTATTAATTTATTTAGAATACAGAAAAATAATTTTTATATCCTCATTATGCTTAACTACTCTGTGAGTGACTAATAGATATACTCGAATTTCAAACAAAACAGACTTTTTTTTAACAATTATTGTCCAATATGTTTAATAGTTTAAAGGACGTTGTCAAAAAAAATTTAAAACTTGAAAAATAAACTAAGTATTGAAACAAACTTTCATGAGGTAGTGATTATTACAACATTAATGTATTTTATACCCGAAACGTCTCTTGTTTTTAAACACCTCAATAATTTGTCTTCCTGTTCTTTAATTTAATAAATATATATATAATATATATATATATATCAATGAATTTTTTTGAGTTGTAGTTAGTTTGATGCTCGTTAAAAAATATTTTAACGTCTAAAATTAACAATTGCAATTCTGATTACTCGGGCCTTGTGGTTGTTCGGTTAGCCTTGTACCTTTTGCACCAGCTACTAAAGTGGGATCTGAATCTAAGCTCTCCGACATTTTGTCACATATTATGTCAACCAGACGTTCAAAAACAGCCTGAGAAAAATAAATCATATATCACTCGTGAGCTGGTAAAATAAAGATAAAAGTTAAAGTAACTGGTTTGTAATTGAATAATTATAAATATTATCACATTATAATTAAACTATAGTGTAGTGTTTGACTACATTAAAGTTTTTCTTGCCAAACATTTTTTTATCAATGTAATTTTTAAAAAATATTATATAATACAAAATAATATCTATAATTATTAGTAAACATCAAGTAAATTTTAAAATAATTATAAAAACTAGTATTCATTTAGAGATAATAAAAATTTATAATTCTGTGGTTAATGGAAATCAGTTTAGAAGTAAAATTTTAAATAATTAAATGAAATTTCGTACTTACAATTTAATGTTATTAAAATCACTGAATATTTATAGGAAAGAATGTTGGTATCATCTGGGTATATTAGAATCTATAAGAATTGTACTTGAGTGTCTAAGATATCAATAAGTTATAAAATAACTTATAGTAAACGAACATCACTAAGTTTTTTAACTTAGTTAAAGTTTAACTGAAAATATTTTATAATTTGATTGGGATAAATTGTTTTTAGTAATTTTTCTGCCTAAGAAACTATTTAAAAAAGTCCTACTTACAATATCACAATGAATGATAAATGATATAATATCATTTACTGTGTTATTAAAAATAATGTAAATAGTTTCCAGAATAATTTATTAAAATTATAAATTTTTATCACACCAACCTTGACATTATGATTATCTTTAGCAGACGTTTCAAAGAACTCTATATTCAATTCATCTGCTAAGGCTTTACCCCTTTCATATGATATTACTCGTTCGTGCTCCATGTCACACTTGTTGCCGACCAATATAACTTGTGCATTGTCCCACGAATAAGTTTTTATTTGTGTTACCCTGAGAAAAACACATTATTGAGCTTATGTCATTTAATTATGTATTTATAATTTATTTATTACCAGTCCTGTACACTGTTAAATGATTCCTCATTAGTGATATCATACATCAGTATGAATCCCATTGCACCTCTATAGTATGCTGTAGTGATAGTTCTGTATCGTTCTTGACCAGCTGTATCCTATAAATAAGGAGGGCGAAATCTTTAAAATTTAGTTGATTTTATATACAAAAATAAGCATATACAAATTTATTGGCCTAATTAGCATTATTAATACAAATGTATATGCAAGTGTAGGCAGAAACCTTGAACGATAGTGATTTCGTTAATCTATAGAAGTATATGATAAAGAATGCGAAACAATTTTAACATTTGTATAGATATTTGAACACATAAAATGTGTAGTTATTATATCGTTTAATAGAAGAGTTATTAAATTAAATTAATGTGAACAAATCAAAATTATTGTCAACTAATAAACTCACCCAAATTTGAAGTTTAACCCTCTTGTCATGTCTGAAGACGGTTTTCACTTTGAAGTCTATACCAACTGTAGATACGAATGCTGATGTGAAGCTGTCATCAGCATAACGAAACAAAAATGACGTTTTACCCACACTACTGTTCCCGATGATTAGGAGTTTAAACATGTAATCAAAGTTTTGATCGGATCCTTCCTTTTGCCATTTTCCGTCTTGGCCGGCCATAATATCCTTATGTGGTTATTCTAAATATATGTGAAACTCTCATATCTTTTCGTTTCCATTAAGTCCCATACAGATATATTTAAAAAGTGCTTACCTCAAATCAGTCAATTGTTTACAAATGTAGATAGGGCGTCTGTTAGGACGTTGCAATACAGAATTATCTCATCAGTATACGGTTAAAATCCAACTGTTTGTAACTTTAATAAAATTTTTTAAATAAATTTATGTCACTATTTGTATGAAATAACTCAAAGCGCGCGCGCGTGTGTGTGTGTGCGTATAGTTTCTAAATCGTCTGAAGCTTCGTGGCAAATATGAGGGCAGTAGAACGAGGGGATCAAAAGCTCGGTCGATAAAGGGGACACTGAAATGGAGGCGCCACCTGGTGACTTGCAACGCACTCCGACGGAGACCGAAGAAAAATCGTTTGAAACAACATCAAATTAACAATGGAAATACTAATATTGATATATCTAGTATATATAAATAAATATATGTATTAATTTTAGTTACTTGTTTCATCAGTTGCTTTTAACCCATCTTATTAAGAAAATATAATTGAAGACTCAGGTAGCTCTGTCGGTAAGATTAAAGAGAGCCTATTGATTTTCTACCCGCCTTTGCTCAATTACACTTACGCCCTTTCCATTAGAATTGTACCTGTTGGTCGTCTTTTACGATAATAAGATAATAGAGCCTACTAAAATGTATTAAAACATGCCATGAAGAGTGACGCTTGCGCCGTCCTAACAAACACCGTTAATATACAAATAGTCTAATAGACTGCACTATGTATATGCCAGCTGTCGGAAGTAGTCGTTATCAAAAAACAGTTTTAGTAGGGCAACAGTAGCAATAGAATATTACTCACTAAGTTCTATGTGCGATCATAGCTCTGTGTACTAAAACTACGAACTGTATAAATAAAAAGTACAGCTAAAACAAAATTGTATGTGCGGGTGAACGCGCGCTTGTTTTCAATTTGAGTTTTTTATTTTAGCAGCTGGTTCCTTTCAAGGTTTTAACGGCAACATAATTGTTTTTACAACGTCAATTATTCAAACTAAATTATCCTTGTATTCGTTTATTTTTAATCAAATCTTTCGAATGATAACAATATAGTATAATATACAATAATAACTCTAATAAAGTGCATTAACAAAAAAAGTATTCTTATAATTATGATTTTAACTAAATAAAAATAACTTTGGTTCATTTACAAATAACAATTTTAGTAAGGCATTCATTAAACTAAATAAAATGATGAAATAAATAAATTGTTATACATTAAATAATAAATTTTACATTTATCAAATGAAATTAAAAAGAAATTGTGTACATATTATTGAATTTTCAGTAAAAATAATAAATCGATAACTTTTCAAGTCTTGAACACTATTCTATGTGCAGATCTAAGAGTAAAAAAAATCGTATTACTATATTTTAAGTATTGCTTGAATTGGTATTGAAGCCACGTAAAAAAAGTCAATTCTTCATAGCATATAGACAAATATCATTACATTGACTACTAAGATTGAACTTATACAATTTAAATACATAATTAAAAGTTCACTTATTAATGAATTTAATTTAATATGTATGAAAATTTAATTCATCCTTTAATTTTTGTTAATATAACTAAACAATAATATTTAATAACATTTACAGAACATAAATTTACCAGTTACAATAAGTAATATTTCCGTAATATCAATTTTTGTGCAAGTTATTTTTATGAATATGTAAATAACGTTAACATTATTGGACTAACTAATAAAATTAGACGTCCGCCCTGATTAACCTATAATTTTTGAGCCATTTCTATTATACATGTGATATATACTAATATATTATACTAATTCTAAATACATTTAATATTAATCTCGTTTCGCACAGTCTTCATTAGAGTCAAAGAAAAAATATAATAGGATAAGTCAAATTTAACGATGAGCTTTCTATAATTTTTCAATAGAATTTATGACAGAATTATATAACTAAATCATCAGGTTGGATCTTTGTCTTGAAGAGCTTGCAATATACAACTTTTAATTTCATCTTCAGACATTTTACTCATTGCTTCTAATTCGTTCTTAGGTACTTGCTTTAGAACTCGGTACATTTCTACAGTTTTCCGATTTTTAGGCCGATGACCATCACTGGATCTTCTTGCTCTTTTTCCTTCAACTATTTTAGGTAACGTGACTGAAGGTTCATCATCAGATTTACGACGAAGTGGCTGTTGTTCACCGTTTATCACTACTCTTGGAGGGCCTTGAGAGTAACTTGACTTCCGACTAGGGTTACCTAGATCTGGTCGAGATGATGATGTATCAGATGAAAAACTTGACCTTAAATGGATATTAATGGTTAATTTCGAAAAGTTGTTTAAATAAATGAAGAATATACCAGTGGCGTTCTCTGGGTTTTGTTTTAATGGAGATATACGTAAGGTCACTATTTACAAACACCAAAATTCATCTTTACTATATACTTAATTTCATGTGTTTATGTTCTATACTCCATATATTCCCATGAGAACGTCAATGGAATAAAAAGTAATATTTTACCTGAAGAACACTCCGGGTGATAATAAGTTAGGACTTCTAGGCAAATCATTTTCAACGTACAGGTTATTATTACTAAGTTTGGCACCAATGAGTTCCGATGCGGAAAATATACTCATTCTACTTGAATCAGCAGGACTTGGATTGCCTGATGATCTTCTTATTAATTGCCTTCTTGTATTGAAGTCAGGAGGACTATTGGAAGCGCCTTGACTTAATCTACGACCTATGTTCTCTGAATAACTTACGACATCAGTGCTATAGCGACGAATAGTTAGGTTACCCGAACTTCTGGATCTCTGTTTACTGTACCTCCTACCTAAATTTAATCTAAAAAAAAAATTAATTATTAATTTCACACTTTTAGTTCTAATATAATTTCTACAACGAAAGCACACCTAGACGGTGACAGAAACTTGTTGGGTTTAGGGGATTGTCCAGTAGGTGAGCTAGAGAGTGATAACCTAACACATTGTTTTTTGTTGTCTCTCTCTTCTCGTTGTATTCTAAAATCAAAAAATTATAATGACTATACAAAACAACCATGTATTTATTTACAATTTTTACCTTCGAATTTCTTCAATAACTTCAAAGAATTGACCTTTGCGTTTTTTTCTTTCAAATTCTTTCTGTAATATTAATATAATATTAAGTAATAGTTACTATGACATAAATATGTTTAAACTTTTCAACAAACCTGAGCATGTTGAGGATGCATAAACGGTAAGCTTACCCTACGAACACTTTTTTGAAATAGTGATGCAATTTGACCCTGTCTTAATGTATGAACTAACTCTTTAGCTGTATGCTGTGGAGAAATAAGCTCAACGCTATTTATGAATTTGTAGAGTTTCTAATGGACAAAAGTTACAAAAATAGTTTCTTTATAAAAAATGTAAAAATACAATAAAATTATATACAATTATTAATCATACGATTTCTATATATAATATTTTTTCAATATTCATTTTTTCTAAAAAAAAATACAAAAAAAATTATAGAAGTATTTGGATTCTTTGATAATAATAAATTGATATAATGTATATAAATATTCATTAGACAAAACTAAAAGTCAAGAAAATACATTTTAAAATAAATGTAATGAATAATTCATAAAAACAATTATATTAATGTAATAATGTAATATTATTTTAAGAACAAATCAGAATCGAGTATAAATATTGACATATGTAGTCAAAACTTTATTTAAAATTAAAAATTCGGAACTGTTGGATAAATATAAGATATACCTACTTGGCTTACAAACATCATATTTTGACTTCGCCAAAAAGAGTCTGGTGGAGTTTGCCTGAGCTTTGGTAAAGTAAAATGATAAAAAGCGTGTTCAAAGCACAATATTACAAAACCTGCTAGAATACCAAATCCTAGCATCAAGAAAACCCCTAAGAAAGCATCCACACCTAGAGGTGTCGGTTGTCCCATATCTGAAGTTTCTACCTCTCCGTCAATACATGGTAAGTCATTAAACCATTTATTTTGCAATATGTCCATAAAACCATTATTAACATATTTAGACACTGCACCGGAAACTTTTTCCTAAAAAAATAAGTAATATCCAGTGATAAAAACCCTCGATGAATTACAACAACACATACAGAGTATCTTAGATTTAATTGACAACGCTTATAATTTTTGATTCAATTAAAATTTCGTTGGAGTTTTTTTTTAAATAATTTTCGCAGATATAGACTATATTGAAAACATATTTTTTATTATTTATCACTAAAAAAGAAAAAATATTTTTTTTCAAAATTTTAGAATAATTATTTTTTTAATATTTTCTTATAAAAATATTTGATGGATCAATAACAGTTTTAAGATAAGTATTTAATGAGTTAAAAGCATTTTAAAATACAGAGTGGGTATGGAACAGGGGCAGAGTTTACATACACCAGTAGAGGTTACACCCACCCCTGTATATTTAATATTGTAGAAGTCGTACAATCATTTTACAGTTTTGATTAAAAATAAAAAATATAATTTGTTAGTAAAAATTGTATACTTAAAAATGTATGGTTAAAAAACCAACCTTTAATATGAAGTTCTTTGTCATGCCAACAGCGTATACATCTTCGTGAATTGGATCACCATATGCAGTAAGTTTACAGTCATGATCTGTACCACTATAATAGTCTAGAATAGGCCGATCTCCAACAAATATGTCTAGACTGCCATTTCTAAAAATAAAAAAATGTACATAGAGTTTCTCAATAAATGCAATAAATTAAAACACATTTTTTTTTTAATTATGTGATTATTTTTATATTTATGGAAAACAATCATTACTTTATGTTTTTTTCTAATTACTGATATTTTTTTAAAATTTTAAATATCTAAGGTTTTTTTTTTACAAAGCAAATTAATATGAAAATAAAGATGTTTTAGTTTATTTTGAACTATAGTATCATAGAATTTACCAATTTTTTAGTTTTCTATTATTCGTAGCTATAAAATAATAATACTGATCAATTATAACATTTTGATGACAATTATCAGCAAATTTTACAAAAAAAAAAATGTGTACCTTAACATCCGCATGCCAGAAGCTGTATCAGGAACATGATATTTTTGAATCTGTTGCCAAAGTGAAGGATTTTTTTCTTTTAGATAAAATTCAGCCGCTGAAGACTTGGCCGCTCCGACTTTTAATGTTAATATCTAAATAATGACATACATTATTAAAAAGGATGATTAATTTCTAAAATTAAAAATAATAAATAAAATTAATTCATTTTTTTATTGAAAATAAAATTTTACTATTGATACTTACATTGCGTTCATTATAGTCTACTTTTGCATTTTGAAATAAAAGAGATGCAATTAAAGCTGCAATGTTAGCAGTGTAACTAGCAACAAAGATCACGCAGAAGCCACCCCATACATTTATAAGAAATTTGTTGGGCCATGACTTGGGTGCTTTAAAATTAACCAATGCACCGCAAAGTAAACCCCACATAGCCCATAATGCTGATGGCATTCTAAAATATCAAATATTGTTAAATACTAACGATTTTCATTTATTTGGTTTATGTTGATCTTACCCAAAATTTTTTGACCTCTGCCTACCCGCAGGATTGAGTCCAAAAGGACTAAACCATTCATAAAGTGCTACGGCCACCGTAGTAACGTGAAGTGACACGAATATAGCTATCCAAAGATTGGGACTCAATGGTAATAAAAATGCTAAAAGAGGTATGTTAGTTTTTCTTTTTGGAGCAACCATCATTGAAACTCCACTATAGAAATAAGGAGTCGAAAATTCTATCCATTTCGATCTAAAAACAATAACAAGTTAGAACTATTATAATCAATTATCAATTTTTTTAAAAATACTAGTAGTAATTCCTGCAAAGCGGTAAATAATTTTACATAGTTGTTTGGAATTATTATTTTCAAAATAATTTAATTTGAAATAATGGCCCTTTTTCTATTTCTACTTTTATAATAAGAAAAAAGTGTTTTATAAGTACCTTTTAGTTTTAATGTGTAAGCAACTAGCAAAGTAATTAATTTCCATTAATTTGAAATACACTTTTAATGAAGATATAATATATAGAAGCCAGTTTTTATATGCTATTAACAAGAAAAATTTCACAAAAAATACCTTTCAGAAATTTTGATAATATGATTATATTAGGTATAACTTGCGAAAAGTTAAAAATGAATTGTAATTTTATATAAAGATAGAATGTTTTTAATAAATATTTAATATTAATTTAATATATAATTGTAAATTTGGTATTGGAAACTTATAGTAATTTAATTCTTGAAAATTCATGATGGTTGTTGAATAGTTAATTTATCAAGTTTTAAGGAGAAATTATTATTCAGTATTAATGTAAATAAAAGTGGAAAATATGTACTGTAAAATTTTAGCGAGCTTTGTTTGCATGTTTTTTAAAATTTTAATTTAAATTAAATAATTAAATATTTTATTAATTAAAAAAAATTTAAGTAAAATGTACTTTTTTTGAATATACAAGTATTATATCTATTAATTGAATAATAAAAAAAATAACTATTCTGTATTTTTCAATCAGTAAAATGATGTTAAAAATAATTTTGAATCGGAAATTAAATGATGGTAGAGTACTTTAAAGGTCAACCACATACCGTTCTAACATTTACTTCGTGTTAAATATATTACCTAGCAGACGTGATGCTCAAAGGACAAAAAGCCATGTGAGCGGAACCTGATACCAAATCACCAACTACTCCGTTCCACTTAATTTTCCGAGATCCAAACAATCCATCAGCCACCAAATATAAATGAAAGTCGAATTCTAGGTCACTAGACATTTTTTCCAATAAGTCTATAACCAATCCAAAACAGCAGAAAGTATCTTGCACGAATCTATTAAAGTTGAAAACGAGTTTAACTATTTATATTAATATTAATCATAAATAATCAATATTTATCAATTAATTTTATTAATAAAAACAACTATACTTCAGTTATAGATAAAAATTAATACATGCATTAATTAATGCATACTAGTTTATAATACTGTAATTTAAATAAAATTTTTCAATATTTTTGAAATTGATTGTATTATACATTTTATTTTTTTTTTTACAGAGTATCCAAATAGTGTTTGAAATCTTTGATAACTTTGGTTCCATTGAATATCTAACGCTACTTCTTTTTTTTTTACAGTTTTGAACTATGTTAAAAGCATATTTAATGGGTTTTTTCTGAATTGAAAATTAACCATTTTTTAGTTATTTTTACGAAAAATTTTTTGGATAGATAACAACTTTAGGATAAGAACTACATGCATTTTAATATATAGAGTAGATATGTAGTGCGAGTAAAGTGCGTATTATAAACATACTCCATTACTAGCTGTACCCACTAAGTAATGAATAGTATGAATACATACTCAATATATTCAATCAAAATTTTTATAAAATAAATAACGAAAAATGGCTATTTTTTAATTAAAAATAAATAAAAAAAATCGTATTATTATTTTTTATTAACAAAAAAAACTATTCCTTTAATGTTGTCCAAAACTATAATAACTATTTAATAAAATGTAACGCAAAATTTCGTTGAATCAAAAATTATTAATTATATCAAAAGCTGGTAAGACACTCTGTATAATAAAATTGTTTTAATGTTTTTTCATTGAGCTCACTTGTCGTTAAATCCCAACTTAATATCTTTGAATATCATTGTTATATTATCTTTATCTGTGGTAGTCATTTGGTAGCATCGTATTCCCCTTAGACACTGTCTATCTTGTGGTAAAGGAGCGTGCATGACAAAAGGTGGTCCTATAGCAGTAACAACTCTGTAAACAGCTTTTCTACCTATTCCAACTCCGGAAATCATTTTATTTCCCGCCCATACAACTGAATCCAACTTAACTATCTGTTGACCTTCCGAAACCGATGGACTAATGGCACCAACCTTCTTCCATGCTCTTGTATATCCATCTGTAATAAATTAAAATATAAGTATTTATTGGTGTTAATCACAATTTTTGGTGTTTTTTAGAACTTATAACTATATACATGGTTAATGCCTATATATAAATATATACCATATGTATAGGACCGTAGAAGAGATGAGGTTTTAAGAGTTCATTTCCCCCTCAAAAGTTTTTTAGTCGTAATAAAATTTTTGATTTCATATTTTATTTTTTCATACTTATAAAAAGTAAAACTCTCAGGAAATACTTTAAGTTTCAATATGTTAAATCAATATTTATCTTAGATACTTCTAAAAAAAAAAATTGGTTCTGATAACTTGTATTTTATATGTAAACTGCCCCCGAAATTTATCTAAAAATGATATATTTGTGTTAAATCATCAACGTTTTTTGAGCTTTTATAATATTCTACATCAATCATATATACATCGAAGTTTTTTTAAGGAAGTTATTTTAGTCATTAGTCATTTTTCGCCCATATTTTTCCTACGGGCTAGATATAAAAATATTAATAGCTTTCGAAACACTGATCTAAAAGTTATTATGGACCAGTCATTTTATTAATTGTATTAATAAATTGACATCATTAATTCGCTTTTACATGGATTCCCGGACACTGCAACATAGTTGGAAATGAAAAAGCAGACCAAGATACAATTAACGCACATGAAACAAGCAACACACCAAAAATCAGCACAACAACCTACATTATGAAAAAAGAAGTAAATGATAAAATAAACAATATATGGTTAAACCAGTGTAAAAAACAAGAAACTAAGTTCAATAAAAATTAACACAATTACTATATGGAAGAACAAATATAAAATAATTAGATTTCTAAGAAAAACTTAACTGTACATAAAATTTGAATTGTAGCTAATGGTCATTTCAACCAAAGTTGTACTTTATGAAAAAAAATTAAATCATTGTGTTTTGGAATTTTATTTATTTATTAAATAAACTTGTAAGTTATGTATGTTGCTTTTCGAAAAAAATTGATACCTTTATAAGGTATAAATTATGAACATAAAGAAAACCTTATGACTGATAATTAAGAAAAATATATATCTAAGAGAAAATAAATAAAAAATATTATTTAAATTTTTTTATTAATTAAAAGATTTGTGATAAATGAATCACCTTGAATATATACAAGGTGTCTAAAATTTATCTTACTCTATACACGAGAGAAACTATATAATTTACAGTTACTCGTAGTACATACTTTATATACAAAAACATTTGTAATTGCTCTATTTTTTCCATATGTCTTAAATTTGTATACTTCAAAACTAATTTAGGAGTTTCTATGATTGTATTGAAGTGAAAAAATACGCAACTATACTACAGTAATTATATACACTATTTATTAAGTTTGTATTTGAAATTCCTATAATTCATTTTATTGAGATAATTTTGTAATCTCTAACTTATAATAAATTGATAACTTTTTTGCATATTGACTATATAAATTTAGATGAAATAAACAAATAATGTTTAGTGGACAAAAAATGTAAATCAGGTAATTGAAAACATACAATAATTTTAATTTTTCATCAAAATTAGCATAGTAGAATAATTTTTGAACGCTCACAATATTAAAGTTCGTTTTATTTATTAAATAATAATATAATAATAGTTTTATAATCAATATTAATATAATATTATTGACATTTTTTGTCAGAAGATCAAAATGAGTTTACGTATTAATTTTGATATTGAAATTATTTCCAGTTAAATAATTCCCCTAATATATTCTATTAAAATATCACATTATAGTAACTTAATTATTAAAATGTCTACTTTATTGTCCAGTATATAATTTAGTGAAAAATTATCTATCTAACTGATTTTTTCTTATATGAAATGTAAAATATTTATTTTAATTTAAAAACATATACATTGAAATTTTGGCAACTGTCTTTAGTTAAATGTACAAATAAACCAATCTCAATTTAAAGTTTGGTGATTTTGATTAGAATGACTTCAACTCACTTATTCTAACAATAAGATACCGTCAGATTATATATAGTAGAGAGCAGTAAGATCATTTACTCTGCTTAAAACAAATAAAATAGTCTGAGTATAACTTTATTTGTGGAATTGTCTATAAAATGTTTTTATTGGGTCCTGGATTTCTTTGTTATCCTATAAAAACCATAGTTTTATATAAAATTTACATGCCGATTTTTTTCTTATTTGATCCTTTATTTTTACTACCCCATAATACACCAATAACTCAATATAATCATTTTTTTTTACTGAATTTTTCTTCTCTTCCATTGTACTATAAGATACGATAAAGTATTGGTGATAGGGTGAAAAAGTAATCATTAATAATACATTCATAAATACTTTACTACTTTTTATATACAGAGTAAATTTATTACTACGCATCACTCAATATTATCAAAATACAAACAAATTAACTGAAAATCATTCAAAATTTTATGTTTTTTTATATGCTCTGTTTTTAAAAATTGTTTTGCTCTTTTCTTTCCTTTATATCCCTTAAATCTGTGCCAATTTGAGTTTTATCCAAAACCTATAAATTTAACTATTTTTAATATTCAAAAATGGTCAACTTAAAAAAATGATAGTTCAACAATAACTTATGAACTATTAAAAAGATGTATTTTCATATCTAAGCGAGATAAGTAGTATGGCATAGAATGTCTAATAATAAGAATAATCAGGTCTTTTTTCAAGCCTTCATTTTAAAATTTTAATATATCAAATAAATACTAATTTAAAACTTGTTATCGACCAGTTATTTTAATAGTTAAATGATTTTCTATGAAGTAAGTCGGTTAAATATATGTTTTCATTTAAAAAATTAATGTGCATTTTTTTTTATGGCTAGAGTAGGGAAAAATGTAAAATTTTTTCGTTAGTTAGTAGTATGTAAAGTTTTATCTCTTCTTCTTCCTCTAAAGGTCTCGCCGTATCGTTGTAAACCTAGTTTACATTCTTCCCTGTTTATAGAAATTTTTTCTATGACTGCGTATTGATTACAGCCAACTTGTCTTGTTATTTCTTTTTAATATGTCTTTCTTGATCTTCCTTTTCATTTAAGTCTGTTTATACGTCTCTCGAATATGTTTTGTAGAAACGGGAGATGACTCAATAAGTGACTGAACCTATTCCCGCTCGTTTCTTTTATGATACTTAACGGAATTCTTTTTTCTCATACTTGGTTTAATACATTTATATTACTTTTTAATTCAGTTCAACTGACCTTCAATAATCTACTCCATGTCCACATTTCTTTGGCTCTCAATTTTTTTTTGTTCAGTCCATACTTGACAGCTATATAAAAATTTATCCAACACGTGGCATTTGACAAAAATTTTTCTCATATTAATATTAATAGTAGTTTTTAATTAGTATATTAATTAGTAGTTTTTTTTTTGCATAAGTATTCCTTTTTTCCATAGCTATTCATTATGTAATATCTACCGAGCATCTATTGTCGTTATTGTACTCCCTTGGTACTTAAATTGTTTAAGTTTTTCAATTAGATAGTTATCTATTCTTAAATTCCAAATAATAGCTACCAACATTGTTGTTTTTTTTTTACTTATATTTTCATTTCATATCTGTGAAAGAAATTATTGAGGGTGTAAAGCAAGTTTTGCATGTCTTTTTCTGATTCATATACTGATGGTATATCCACATTAATATCATATGCAAATCTTAGGCAGCAAAATTTTTCTTCATTTATACTTCTTCTTCTTTTTGACTTTATCTTATACTCATTCATAATCTCTTCTATAAATAATTTTGACAGGTAACGTGATAAGGAATAGCCTTGCCTCAAATCTCTTTTAATTTTTTCTGTAGTTTATAATTGCCTAATTCAATTAAAGTTTCTTGTTTCTTATATATTAACATTATAATTTTTATATCTCTGCTTTTGTCATAAAATGTATTAATTAATTCTAGTAAACTGTGCCAAAAGCTATCTCCAAATCAATAAAGGTTATAAATGTGTTCTAATTTTTTTAATCTTTCTTTCGTCAGTAATCTTAGGGTCTGAATTGCTTATTTTGGCTGATTTTTTTATCTAAAACCAAACTGATCCATATCAATTTTATTCATCATTCTGTTATTCATAATAATGAGAATGATACGAGTACAAGTATTAAGAGACTTATTGTTCTATAATTTTTGCATTCTGTGGAATTAGTACAATTTTGCTTTTAATGAACTTTTTCGTATTATTGTCATACAATACATTTTCTAAATCATTTCAAATAGTTGATATTCTGTGTCATTTTCGATATTATTTAATAGTTCTGCTGGCATCTGACACTTAACCATTCTTCAATTCATTTAATGCTTTAATAAATTAATTTTTTATTATATTTGGTCTCATATCTTCATTTTTTGTCGCTATTCTACTCCTCATTATCATGACATTTTCTTTTATCGATCCTTCATATAATAAAAATATGTAATAAATGTACTCAAGGAAATATAACGACGTTTACAATATTTTTCTAACATTAAATATACATTACATGTTCATCTTATCAGATATTAAGTAGATAAGCAACTTTATAAAAGTTGAGAAAAATCGCTATTCAACATTATCTTCTTAATGTTGATTAACGAAATTCATAAAAAATGTATAAATTTGATTTTACAGTCAAATTTTTTTATTATATTATCAATGATTCATTCAACTTTTCTTCATTATTATTCTTATAAACTATTTTTAAATATTTGATTTTTATTTTGAATAATTTGAATATGATAGAATAAATCATATTAATTTAAGTTTTTTTTTTTTTGAGTTTCTGTTAGATAGACTACACAAAATACATATAGGGCGAGTGTTCTCGATCGCCCCAAAAAAAATATTCTAGAACACTACACACTACAAAACGATGTGACATCAGTCAATAGAGAACTATGATAAAGAACTTTTAGCTATATACGATAGTTATAGACATTTTATTCACTTATTATAAAGCAAGGACTTTACAATTTATACAGACC